TATCAACAATTTTCATCGGTGAATAACCATGAGTTATTGGACGATAGACCAATGACGTGTTTGTATTATTTTCCAACAGACAAACGCTTTTCCGTAAACTCCCCCGCAAATATTCCGGCAAACAAACGAGTCGGGATTGGTTTCATAAGTCGAATGAGATAAAGGTTCCCATATTTAAATTTGTCTGCATTTAAAGACTTGCTAGTGGACAAAAACTTACCTCTAGATGTACTTAACTTTCCGCTGCACTAAACTTAACGAGGTGATAGTATTCGTAAACCTGTCAAATGCTGATTTCACGTGTGGCGTGACCGAATGGCGGCTGAAAATCAACAAAATAAAATATATTCCTAAACACATCAAGAGTAAAAAGATGAAATAGAACAACTGCCCACACGGTCAGAAATGACAAAAAATGGTGCAGCTGGGTGTGGAATGAAGACATAAAGGCATCAGATGACAGATGTTAATGCACGAAAAAGAACAGTATTATTTCAATGATTAAATTATCTAGTTCACCTTGCTTATCAAAGGCGTATGGACACTGAGGTAGACACGAAAAAGACATTTACTACATTTAACTTGCTAGAATAGGTATATTCAACACATTTTTATGTATATGATATGGTGGAATATATATCTTGGGATTCGAAAGTGTTGAAATTTTTTTTTTCTCACCATCGTTATGTATTCCCTCATGATCCACTCACATACATTGATTATTTCTTAATTATTTATTCCATGACAAATGTGTTTTGATTGATCAAATCAGCAAAAGTGATGTTTTTTTATTAGTGACATTTCGAAAAAAAACATAATTTAGATTAATCCAATCACAACACTGATTAAAGTCTACCATAAATAATTTAACCAATCAGGAAAAAATCGGCTAAATTTTTCATCATAATCTCGATATCTTAACGGTTCGCAGTCCCAGCTTATTATGCAGTTGCTAATCAACGGGGAACTGTTCTCTGAATAAAACGTTTAATTCCACAGTTCACTTTGGTTTTTGTTTGATCTCAGTAGATAATGCAGGCAATCAATTGATCGGGTTGGCTCAAATGAAACGGGTGTCAGCGTCTCCAATTCCAAAGTTAGCCCAAAGCATAAACGAATCGGGGTAATTTCCGACAGAGACATTGATTAAGTTTTACTTATATTACATCTTCATCAGAATATGTGGTACATGTAACACAACAACTCAGGATTTCCCCCACTCCCCAACATTTTCGTTTCGGTGCTTCAAATTATCCACAAGACGAACTGATCCGAGTTGATATGGGGGGACCTTTGTTGACGATTCCTGTACCACTGCCGAAAAATGAAACTATACATTCAAAACCATTTTCTCTATGACTATAGCTTTGATAAATTATTATTGAAAAGAAAAGCATAACTTGCTGAACTTAAAAAAACACATAATGGAGATGATATAAACAAACTTCAATCAACAAACGTGTTCTGAGTGTACGGTATTCTGCGAGGCGAGACCAGGAATCGAGACCTTGCATTCAGATTGTTTACATTGTGCCATCGCTGAAATTGGTTGAGCTACCTGGACAACAGAAGTGAACAAGCCAAAATATGCTACAGTTGTATCCAAACGGAAGTTGATGTTAGGTTACTGTTTATAGGAAAAACGGAAGTGCAGCGGGACAGGGATCCTTAAATAGTTAATATTTCGAGCTATATGTTTGGCATACTTTATAAAAACTTATGCACTTATTACATTAATATAAGTAAATGTTCTAACGAGATATGTTTTAAAATAGGTAATTTAAGGAATTAAATAATGAGTTTATTTAATTGTATTACTTCTTTTGCACATATAACTTTATTTGTCGTTTAGGATTGTCTATACATACAGCTCGATGTATCGCTTCGCATTCCGGGGTAGATTTTATAAGCAAAAACCTAATAAACAAAATATCTAGCAATGTCTTCAGTAATACAAGTTATATTTCGCAAGTGTGGCTAAGATTTTGTATGACTGCATACATTGTTAGATATCCTCTATGTATTTTGTTTTACAAATTAAAATTAATACAGTAATGGTACGAAGTGAAGGTGCATGCGGTTTTTTCATGATTTATTTATATATATGAACGAATAGCTATATCCTGTGTCAGTCGTTATACATGTTTGTTATCTAAATTTTGTATTATTTTAAGGAGTCCCAGATAGCCGGATTGACAGAGGCGTTCGCTACTTCGTAGATGGAGTACAAAGATATGGTATGTTATTGCGTGCATTACGTTGCCCTTCTTACTTTGGCAGCATGCATGCTCAGTGTGCTTTAAGTTTCATTTGATGAAACATGCCCATCACATAATACGCGTTTTAAACAACTGAATTTCGTTGTCCAATAATATCCCTCATACAGCTGTAACATACTTATTTTAGGGCACTCAAATTTTATTGCATTGTCAAATTTTAATAAATTAGCGGATTGATGAATTTGCGCATAAGACATGTTACAAAGAACCACATGAAAGAACTTCAATTGATCTTGTACGTGTATATAACAAAAGCCAAATACATCTCAGGTCGTGTGTGTGGGGCGGGGTTAAGTCGGGCTCAACAAACCTTAGCTTAGGGGGGGTCAAACAAGAAAATACCAAAGTGTCAAAACAGTCACAATTGTAATTCGAACTCAAAAACGATAAAAGTAAGGCCAACTATAAACAACAGACAGATTTACACGGCGACCCTTTAAAAAGTACAAGAAGAATAAGACCAGGTGTTCCGGAAGGAAAATCGTCCGGAGATGGTAAATAGATTTCAACCTAATTTGGTCTTGATGACCTTTTAAGAAAGAAATTGTTGTATGCATTTAAATCGCCTAAAGGGATTCAACGTCGTATAAATGAACGGCGTGCCTTTTCTGTAGACAGAGGGGTGGGACCAAATAGGAGAAATATAGTTCCATATTTGAAATTTTACTCCTGGAGAATGGACAGATATTAGAACTGTATTTAGTGTTATGAGTATCTTTTACCTTAGGGGTTTCAACGTTGCATAAGCAGATGGTTGGACTATTGTTAGGGCAGAGGGCGGGACCCAATAGGAGGAAATACGGGTTGATTTTAGCGCTTTTGCTAGGGTCAGGGTTAGGGGATCTTACGTTACTTTGGTCGCGAGGATCCTTTGTCCAAGGAAATTCACATTGTACATATGAAGGCTTTGCTCCTCTGGGGCAGAGTGGCTGGGCAAAATTAGAGAAATATTAATATAGTATAAAACCCTAAACCTTGAGTAATGGCACAATAAAGGGATTTTAAACTTATCTAATCTAGAGCATCATATGATTAAGGGAATTCAATATTGTAAAGTAAAAACATAAGGTATCGTTAACAAGGACGGGTTTTGTTTATCTCATGAGCAGTATAAACGGTTTTGACATGCATACAATTTCCTTAATCAAGGGATCACTGAAAGTATTTCGAAATAATATCTATTTTTAAAGGAAACAACTGGACCTTTGCAAGCGGTACAGAAATGGCAATAAATCGTGCGTTATGGTATCCGGGTAAGTTACATAGTTGATATATACATGCACTATACAATAAAAATAAATACACAATTTTATTGATGAATAACCTAAGCGACTCTTTTTACCTACACTGTAGGAGTGGTTCTGGTCATTTATTTTACAACTACTGCAAAGCAGCAGTGACTGACTTAAAATATAAGATAGTCTACAGCCTGCAAGAGACTACTGCTAACGGGCACAGCAACACAATCTTCCTTCGACTGATGGGTAGGAGGGTGTGTGTTTATTATACAGGACGAGATAAGTAAAACATCACTGGTGTCTGTTGTGTATTATATAGGAAGACATTTTTTACATACCACCACATGTAAACAAGGCGTTACATTTAACATTGTATTATCTATATTTTAGGGAAGCCCGATGGTCCTGGTGACAAAGAGTTGGATGTCTGTGCTGTATTATATGCAGGGCTATTGTTTGACTACTACTGCCGAACAAAAGTTCATTTCATATGCCAAAAACAAAGTAAGTCGCAAACTTGTTCCTCGCATTGTATAAATGAATGGAATATTAAAAGAAAAATGATAAAAAATTAATATTCAAATGATATTTTCAACGATTATTCTTATATAAAGAACATGCAAGGATTTGTTTTTCAATACCCATTATTTCAATCAGTGATATTCAGCTATTCATAGTTTAAATGTACAATTTATTTTAATAAAATACAAATCAATTATTTAAAAACAAGCGTCTGGTAACAAGACTTGAAGTATAACAGCAAATTAGCATCAATACAACATATTATACCATTTCGGATTATTTTTTTATTTCCGAAGTGTAAAATAGGTTTTTGTACATTTTCAGTTCTCCCATTTCTGCGGCTGTCACGAGAAAATGGTAATATAGAGTTAAATTATAATGATATTTGGAGTCCTTTGTGTTTTGATCTGGGACTGTCAGCAGTTGAAACCGGGAGAATCTGCCAGGATCAATATGATCTACTATATAAAACGTTCCGGTTGGTAAAATTTGCGACTTTTTATTATTAAAATATTTTCCAGGATTTTTGACATAGTCTGGAAAACACACTAACCACTCATTTACCCACACTCTCAAATCATCATGATCATCATCATCATCATCATCATCATCATGGAAGCAATTTCATGGATACTACTCATAATATATATATATATATATCTTTTAGGCGAGTGTCAAATCAATTTATTGAACGAGTGTAACGAATTTAATATGACATGGACTCTGAATCTGAGATTCCATTTATTTTACAACATTCATAATTTTAAGAAAAAAACCCCTTTAGAATAATAGTTTTATCAGCTGACTTTATATTGGTAAAAACCAAAGTACCCTGATCAAAGTACTGTCGTTCAGTGCAGTGCAAATTAGTTCCTTGTTTGCCATTAAATAAGGAACAATTTTAAATGCAATGACAAACCAATAATGAATAAATAATAATCTTATATTCAGTAAATGCACCATGAGGTATAGTAAATAAAAGTAGCACCTGAAGTTGCGTAGCAATTTGATCTCACGAGTTTGACCAATCGCAGGACCTTTATGTTTTAATACACGTATGTAATACCATATTTATGACATAGCTGTTTGACATAGTAAAATGGGTCAGTTATGTGATAAACCTGTATATGTTTCTGTAATGATATTTGCACCTTTATTCACATCACAAATTACAAATTCACGGTCCATGATATTCGTTGTTTCACAGTAATACCTATATCTACCCTGATTCTGATGATGCTCCTGGAGAACATGGATATTGGTACGACAATGCTGACCGAAGGTGTAAATTCACCGAATTACACTGTAAAGGTAAATATAGAGAAAGTTATGTACCTAACACATAACCGATACAAACCTTTACAACGTATTGACAATGTATGTTAATATAGGGAAAGGAATGACACTGAAATATTCCTGGTCAGGCAAGTACATGCGTGTACACTTATAGCCCATTTTAAATACCTTCCGTAGTTATAGGTACATAATTGTACACTATTGTCACTTCTAGCTTCCAACTATAGTCATAAGTAAATACTTGTACACTATAGTCCGTTCTAATTTACTTCCATAGGCATTAGTCCATACTTATACACTATAATCCGTTCTTACCTGTATAATTATAATCCCTTCGCACTACCTACCAGTAATTTGTACATACTTGTAGACTTTAGTCAATTCATACTACCTTCCATAGTCAATAGTACATATTGGTAAACTAAAGTGCATTCTTACCACCTACCATAGTCTATAGTACATACTTATACATTAAAGTGCATTCTTACCACCTACCATAGTCTATAGTACATACTTTTACACTAAAGTGCATTCTTACTACCTACCATAGTCTATAGTACATACTTGTACAATACAGTCCGTTCAAACTTGTATAATTATAGTCCATTCTTACTACCTACCATAGTCATTAGTACATACTTGTACACTATAGTGCATTCTTACTACCTACCATAGTTATAAGTACATATATGTACACTATAATCCGTTCCTATGACCTGCTACAGTAATTAAATGTAGGACAAATTTGTATACTATAGTCCATTCCTACTACATGTATCTATCCTCTCCATAAGGATGGGGATTTATTATGGAGAGGATAGATAGAAAGAATGGACTATAGTGTCCAAATATGTATTACGGAATATGGTAGGTAATATGAATCGACTATAGTGAACTATATTTATGTATTAATGATAATGGTAGTTAATAAGAACGGACTATAGTGTACACGTATGTGGTTATGATTATGGTAGTTAATAAGAACGGACTATACTGTACAAGTACAGTATGTACTAATGACTATTCAAACGATAAATCACAACATTATGCAAAGCTTAACCACGACTAGTGGTGGATACTTGGTGGCGTAGTTATACTGGCTCCGTAGTCTTACTATTTTTCCCTCTGCAATGCACTTGTGCAAAAATCCATTTTTTTACTGCATTGTATCGTAGTCCTTATTTCATCCGTATTTATTTTTTATTTTCTACAACGGATTTATTTTTTCCCTCTTCTTCTTTTTTCTTCCCTATTTATACTTACTGTGCATTGTAGGTTGTGCATTCTTCTTACATTCGAACAAAACTCCATGCTTACTACCAATATGATAGCATAATCTACCCATTGTACACGTACATGTATCTCAGTGTTTAAACTGAAAGAAATTGTTACAGACATGGGAATGCTTGTATCAAAGAGTGACAATAACATCGTTACAAGGGCCCCGTATCGGAGATAAGGGTGCCCTATAGTAATCACCTTGCCTGTCTGTCTGTTTGTCTGTCTGTCTGTTTCCGTCTGTCTGTCTGTCTGTCTGTCTGGCTAAACATTTTGTTCCTGGCTAATAACTTTGGTATAAATTGACCAATTAACATGAAACATGTTCAGTTCACATACATACACAATAAAGAAAAAGCCAAGGTCAAGGTTCAAGGTCAAGGTTCAAGGTCAAAAGGTTCAAAGGTCCAGGTCAAATTCCGACTCTTTTCACTGATGATCATTTTGTTATGACATGATGAAGCAAAGTTAATAAGAATTCAACAAGCAATCATCAGGTCAGAGGTCTAGGTCAAAGGTCAAATTCAAATTTTGAAGCTTTTCGCTTATAAGCATTTTATGACATTATGAAGCAGAGTTGGTCGGAAATAAACAAAGAGACACACTGAGGTAAAAGTCGAGGTCAAAGATCAATGTTTTTATGTTCAAAGGTCAAGGTCAATTTTTGCATCTTTTCACTGATGAAATTTTGTTATGACATGATGAAGGAAAGTTGATCAGAATTAAACAAGGAGTCAACTGACAAAATGTCAGGGTCAATTGGTCCAAGGTCAAGGTCAAATTTTGTAGCTTTTCACTGATGAGCATTTTAGGACATTATGAAGCAGAGTTGGTCGGAAATAAACAAAGAATTAACTGACCAAAGGTCAAGATCACTTGGTCAAAGGTCAAGGTCATTTTTTTAAATCTTTTCACTGATGAACATTTTGAAATAGCAATATGAAGCAATGTTGGTCAGAATTAAACAAGGATTCAACTGACCAAAGGTCAAGGTCATTGCGTCAAAGGTCAAGGTAAAAGTTTGTATCTATCCAGTGGTGAACATTTCGTTATGACGCTTTGAAGCAATGTTGCTGAGAATTGAACAAAGAGTCAGTTGACCAAAGATCCAGGTCACTGGATCAAAGGTCAAGGTCAAATTTTGTATCTTTTTCCTGATGAACATTTGGTTATGGCATTATGAAGTAAAGTTGTTCAGAACTAAACACGGAGTCAACTGACATAAGGTTCAACGTCAAGGTCAAGTTTTGTATTTTTCACTGATGAACATTTTGTTATGATACTATGAAGCAAAGTTTTTTGGAATTAAAGAATAAGTCAACTGACCAAAGAACAGGGTCACTGGGTTAAAGGTCAAGGTCATTTTGGTCCAAAAGTCAAAGAAAAAGTGGATCTCTGACTTTGACCCTTGCCCTTGATGGAGGAGGTATCTAAGGTAAAATAAAACATATCAAACCTTCAAATGAGTATTGAACCGGTATTTGCATTTCTGTCAGCCCAGCAAATATGGAGGTGGAAGGAAACAAGACTCACATCATAGTACATGTAAAGAGTATATTTTGCTTCCTTGCGATTCTTTTTGAAGTCCAAACGTCAGACGTCAAGCTCAGCTTTATGGGCAGATTGCTTCTTGATGATTGTGGGGGATATATTGCCACAAGACGGGGCCCTTACTGACCTGTGAATACAGTTGTTGGAAAGCATTTTTTACATTTATGGATGTAATTTTGCAAACAAATTCCTTTTCAGGTGAAGCACCAGGAGAACCTGTTATTGAATATGAGAAAGATGAAGTGAATATGGGGAACACTCTCAAGCTGTGTTGTACAGTAGTCGGAGGTATACCTAAACCAACGATAGGCTGGAACAGGCAGGACAAGGCTTTGCAAACCAAGGAAGGCTGGACACGTCTTCATAATAAAGTTGTGTTCAATGGAAACACGTTCCTGACGTTATCATCTGATGACAACAACGTTAGGTTCAGCTGTGTCGTTAACTACAAAGGAAACGATAGTTACTATGAAAGAGGCGTCACTTTGAACGTATTATGTAAGTTAACCACTTGTTTAATATTGTCAAGTTTAAATGTGATCTACAGAGTAATTGAAAACAATGCAAATATAACAAGTATGATTAAAATAGACGCGGGGAGAGATCTTCGGTGATCAGCTGGCACGGAAAGTAAGCGTCCATCTAGGACTTGGAGTTTCAGGGTTCGAATCCCTATACGGCCGTTGAAGATTTCCTGTTACATTTGGCGCCAAATTAGATTAACTCACGGAACAAGGTATATAGCTCACAGCCGAGTGGTCCCGGGTTTGAATCCAGGAGTGTTTGGCCGTTGTATTTCCTTCCTTTCCTCAATTATGATATTAAATGTAAGGACACCATTCCGGGAGATACAATGTACGGAGGCCTAGAACTCTACTGAATGAGTATAAAAGTAATACGAATTCGACTAAATATCATTTCTACACTATAACAGACCACACTTACAACTCTACTGGGACATAGATTTGCAACTTAAAATCAATTACAACCATTGTTGCCTGCAAACATCATGGCTGGTGCATCATATGATGCACGAGATAGTTCCTGTTTGAAGAACCCGACTTTGCCGACTTTGTGGTCCGCTTTTGCCTTTTTGTATTTATGCTATGGCAAAGATAACTGCTATTTACCGTCAATATGATATGAGTTATAGGCTATTTTGGAGTTTGTTATATTGTGATTTTTTTAATAAAACTTAGTCCTTTACTCAACTGTGTACTGCTTTAAGTTTGAAAATGTGTAACTTTTGTTTTGTGTGAAATGTACAGACGTAATCAACCGCGATTGTTTATGGTACAGGTTGTATACAGATTGAGCCTGTAAGATTTCTGTGTATAAACGATTAACAGAAGTGATTTTAGTATCTGATTTCTGTGTTGTTCCTAGTCACTTTCAAATTCCACAATTTTGATTTGTGTGTTAAAGATTTAAGTAAATGTAATCATTTATTAATTTTTCCATTATATTTTGAGGAATGGTGTACTTGTTTCTGGTTTCAGATCCACCTATCATGACAGTACCAAACTATGTAGAAGTCAACGAAAAAGATGACGTCATCCTTGAGTGTCACGTGACTTCAAATCCTCCACCAACTATTAGATGGATATGGCCAGCAAAGAGGGAAATGCCAATTGGAACGACCTTGAACTTGAACAATGTTTATCGTACAGCTATTGGCAGCTACACGTGCCGAGCTGAGAACGTATTCCGCAAACAGAAAAAAATAGAAGAGAAAACGACCATGTTATACATAAATGGTAATGAGTAGAACACTAGACACACGACATTCTACATTAAGATTTTGTCGCAAAGACGTGCCACGTTCTCTTTGATCTAGCTATGGTATAACCAACTTATTTCAAACAGTTTTACTAAAACCATATGGTATTAGTGAGGCTCCTCCCCTTCACTGAATACAATAGAATTATCCATTCTCATTGGTCAGCCAATGCAAGTTTAAAGTGGCAATTAGTGATTGTTAATAGGACGTCGATCCCTTGAGAAATAGCTAAAAATAGAAATACTGGAAGTTCAAACACATTTTATTCAGCAACATTGTTGCAAACAATTCAACAAATTTCGCCTTTCCAGGTTCCGCGGTCTATCTTTTTTCCGTTTTGTAACTTACAACTTTTAGCATGAACTAGTCCGCTTTATAATTAAAAGACAAATGGCAATTGTGAAACACATTTCCGGCCATATTAGAAATATCAGCAAATGGAACCTTGTACTTTTCTGTAGGTATGTTAATATCCACATTAGTAGGCTTAATATTACCATTTTGACATTTAGCGCCCTCAATTTATACCCTTTTTATCCTTCCAACGGGATCCGGGAAGTGGCTTTTAACGGGTATTTACTCCTCCTCTGGCTCATCTTTAATCGCCGAGTGAAAACAAATTGTCACTTTCCGAAATCGGCAGGTGTTAGGTCTTCCAACACAGTTTCAGCGAGGTTTTCTGTTTACTTTCAATGCGAGTCATCAAATGCAACTGAGAAAAATGAATATCGTCCAGGTCCTCAAAGTCATCGTGTGCCAGACTTGGCCTTGCGTTTGAGACGAATTCCGACATGCTGCAATGTATTTTTGATAAGGACTAAATGTTCTCTTTAAATTGTTACGTAACACTTTATGCGACAAGTCAGATACATCATAGGCCGCGCGATATGTCAGTTATAGTACTCGAGGGGCGGAGCTTACATTCAACATGTCTGTGTTAATTCAGAATATTTGTTATACGATACGATAGGTTGTGTTGCTGTAAGAGTAGTTCTTACTAAATCAATAATGCCAGAACGAGATAGTCATTACGACACGTTTTGCACCTGCCAGTGTTTACTGTAACACATACTTGCTCATTATGATCGTTCATGATCAGGATACAATGTGATTATCGGGGGACACCGTGACGGGTGCCAGATGTGATGCAGGAATCGTTAACCTTTTCTGTTTTCTGTTTTTGACACCTTGTTTATTGCGGTGATGTTGTATTTTCATTTGTTTTTGTTCCTCCTCAGTTTGTGCTGGTCTTTTTTATTGATATTTTAATCTATATTGAGCTCGGGAATTATCCTTGCGACGTGCTTCTTTTTGTTTTGTTTCTTTGAAATACACGAAATAATTGAAGAAAAGCCAAATTGGGCGTAATATTTGCAAGGGAAAATAAAATAATGATTATTCTTGGGACATTCATTTGCCTTGGTCTAAACATAACTGTTGAATACAAAAGTTATGTATTTCGACCCCGGTATTAAATAGCCATGACAGTTACACACAACCACCACCATTAGCAATACATGTACTTAACAGTTGGAGCCTGGTCAATATTTTGAAGCAATTTGCTTTTTTTTTGCTTTTTTTTTAGTAGAAAATAATTAGTTGTTACATCTGAAAGTTAGGGATCTTCCCCAATCACTTAAGTAATAATAAATAAATCGGTGTCCTTCAACTACCGTTACGATTAGCAATAAATAATTCACAGGATGAAACGGGGAAAGGTTGGGGATCGTGTCGGGTTTGTTGTAAGGGTGGGGTATTTTAATGCTTTTACAGCACAGGTACAATAGTCGTTGTATACAAAAAGATGCATATGTTTGAAGTAAATCAAAATTACGCGCAGGTTAATTTTACATGTCAGTTATTTTTTCCAAAGAACTGGAATTGTCCTGCTACATGTATAATCATTTCCTGTATATGGCATCATTTCGATTATTAATGGAGTTAATACCTAAATCATTTAACAATATGTGATCATTAGTGTTCTTGCAATGACAAATTGATCTGACTTGAAAATAATTCAATACAAATATTTTTGCAGCTCCCCCGAAGATGTGTCTTTATCAGCATGAATTCACAGCAAAGAATGACACCTTGGAGATGATATGTTCAGCTACCGGAGTACCGACGCCAAAGCTCACCTGGTTTAGTGATTCCAAACTGATCAACATAACAAATTCTACAAACCACATCATTGAGTCTGTAGTTGCCCCTGACAACCCATACCTGGTCCGCAGCATGTTGACAGTTTCTGGCGTTGGAGACGGGGATTTGTTAGGATATAGATGTAGTGTGACTAATGACAATGGTGTGACGCAGAAAACTTTCAGAATACGTGAGTATTGACTGTTTACATTAAATAAATACATTTTAGGACATGTGCATTGTCCTATTATGTTCAAATGACATTTCCGTTGATCATTGTCATCCATTCCTTTTTTACCGGCATTGACATTTTTGGGGAGCGGATAGGGGTCTTTAACATGTAAACTTATTCTGATGTTGGAAACTTACATTCAATTAAGCATGCTTGACTATAATCCCCACTTGAACATTCCAAGTCCTCTGTATTTAAATGTCACGTTGTATTTGAAGTATGTCTATATCATATTTCAGATCGGAAACTAAAATGCAGATGCCTGTCAAGACTTCTAAAAAACTGCGTACCGTTGGAGTTTGAACCGGAACATTTAGCAGCAAGCGTGATCCAGGCAAAAGAAAAACTATCGGTGAAAAAAGATGAACTGACATCAAATAAAAGAAAATTGATTTCTTCCAATGATAACCGCTCGTCGGCATCAGCGATCGGCCTACTCGGAGTCGGTATCCTGGTTACGCTTGTTGTCGTGTTAATTGGCTTTGATTTAATTGGATACTTCGTCATCAAACCACATTTGAAACACAGTTCTAAAACCAAAAAGAGGAAACAAACAAATTCCAGAACAAGTATTGAGGCGTTGTTGTCATCAAATCGCAGCCGATGTCAGACCGATGGGGACATACAGCTGACCGATATCAACGATATTGACCAACAGTTGTCCAGATCTGACCAGCAGAACCAGACATCCACAGTTTCTAAAAATCCTAAAACAACCACTGCAGTTGTACATGTACGCAACAATCCCACGATACACAATGGCCAGTAACAGCAATCAGTACGCCTCCGTATACAAGAAACACTTTGTCAGATATTGTTGAAAGTAATCATATTTGGCATCTTATATTTTTTAAGAATTAATACACTAAACGATTACTTTACTTCAATAGCAACATCCTCCTCTAATCTTGACCCACTGCAACCTACTGTAAATAACTATTCTTTTTTTTAATTAGAAAGTATTGACATATCTGAACAAGATATAATCGACCAAGATAAACTACTAAATGATAATAAACCAGTGGGGCCTGATGGAATTATTCCCAAAGTAATTAAAAAACTAACACCCTCAATATCATATCCACTAACATTACTATCTAACAAAATGATGGAACTTGGAAATATCTCTGCATCATCGAAACTTGCTAATGTTAATGCTATATATAAGGGTAAGGACTCCCAAAATAATGTCAGTAATTATAGGCCAAGCCCAACTACATCTTGTTTCAGTAAAATTATTGAAAAAATGTATCTTTAATGTACCTGTATAACTACCTTGTAGCAGCTGAAACTATTTCGGAGCACCAGTCAGGCTTCCTGCCTGGTGACTCAACTGTGAATCAATTATTATCTATGTATCACACTATTATAAATAATTTAGATATAGGTAGAGAAGTTAGATTTGTCTTCTGTGATGTAAGTAAAGCTTTTTATATAAATTAGAAAATTATGGAATTAAAGGAAAATTACTGGCATGGTTTAAGAAATACTTGTCCGAGAAAAAACAAAGGGTTATTACAGAAGGACATCAGTCAATTTTTAAATGTATCAGTGCAGGCGTGCCTCAGGGATCTGCTCTTGGTCTATTTATCTTCCTTCTCTATTCAAATGTCATCACTAATATAGTTACAGTGTACTAGTAACATTAAACTTTTTGCAGATGATACCTCCCTCTTCTATTATTGTTGACGATAGTCCCATTTAAGAAGCACAAAATCTCTTTAATGACTTGCAGAATATATGTTCTTGGGAATAATCTTTGGATATAAAATTTAACGCATCCAAAACTAAAACTATGATCTTCACACGGAAAAACCTTCTTCTCAAATCAACCATTAACCGACAGTACTATCCATAAACATGTAGGTCTTACTTTTAATGAAGATGGTAAATGGGGTCAACATATCCAAAATATTTATGATACAGCAATTAATCTTGATAGAAATACACTTAACACTATGTTTATATCCTATATGAGACCAATCTTAGAATATGCTAATGTAGTTTGGGATAATTGCACTGAACAATCAAAATTATTATTAGAATCAGTCCAACTAGATGCTGCTAGAGTAGTGACAGGGCTTCGTAGAGGTACATCACACCATTAATTGTACAAAGAATTAGGATGGGAAACCTTAGCTGGTAGGAAGGAAAAAATATAATTTTAATGTATAAAATATGTCATAATACATCACCAAAGTACCTTAATGATATAGTTGATCCTTTTTTAAATGATTTAAAAATACGTGAGGTATCAGCTAACACTAAAATAGCGTTTTCAACCCGGTATGTAGAACTGAGAGCTACTTTAATAGTGTTTTTCCCTCAACCTTTCGACTTTACAATCAGTTAGACCCAGATATTTTAAATGCTCAAATTCTTCCCCAGTTTATAAAACTGATTAACATAACTAATAGTATACCAGCTAATGATACTCAGACAGTGGTAAAAAACACTCTGGTGAAAGAAAAATCAATATTATACTATGTCAAATTAGAAATAATGCTAGCAACTTAAACTTTGATCTCTTTAATGACCATCTATTATAATCTGCTTCATGTGTGTGTGGTAATATACAGGAAACAAGTTATCATTAATTCTTTGACTGTGCCAAATACAACAATCACAGACAAGTACTCTCTGCTACTCTACTCAATGATAATCACTCGCACTATACTCTACATACTTTATTAAATGGTTGTAACCATTGTGACAATGAAACCAATACAAATTTCATAGAGAGTGTCTCAACCTTTATCGTGAAATAAAAAATATTTATATAACTAGAATTATCTATATCAACTTATAGTATCATGCTTATGGTTATCAATATCATGAAACACTTACTATAAATACAGTGTGAACATGATATACTCATCCCGTAAATCAACATATCCTAGAGACTGTCTCAACCTTTATTGTGAACTCAAAAAGTTTTATATAACTAGAATTATCTATATCAACTTATATTATCATGCTTATGGTTATCAATATCATTAGGCATTTACTATGAACACAGTGTGAATATGATATACTCACCCCGTAAATCAACATGGACTTGCATTTTGTAATTAATAACAAGTAGTTGTATAATTATATTCTTAACGTATTATACTGTGAATATTAATATACAATACAATATCGACATAGCTTATTCATAATATTCAATGCATATAAGCCTTATATTCAACAATCGATGAGTCACTCTGTGTGGATTTTGAAGAGAGATGGCTAATATTCACTCATAACTCTGATGAGGTCAAGAATAGCACAGCTTGACTTGTAACTTTCATAAGCAGTTTGAGTTATCTCCCTTTTACAATATGACTTGCACATTGTTATTTGTTTTGTATATAAGTTGTGTCTTTTTTCAATTTTTCATTTTACTATAAATGATAATATATTTATATGCTGATTTATACAAATGCATGCAGGAGAGAACTGATATAGGCATGGCCTGTTGTTCGATCCAATTAAAACACCATCCTGAATAAAAAACAAAGAAAAATGAAATCAAATCTTATATTTTTTAATATGTTGAAAATGACATTGAACTCATTTGCAAGAATTGTGCTCCTACGACGGACGGAACCCAATGTGTGGTACATTTGGCTTCATGACTACGATCTGAACTAACCGTTTGATAAGTTCTTGCTTAAAAAGTAGTGTTTTTAATGTGTATGCCTGTATTTGTTTTAATTAAAGTACAGTCTAATGATACCTCACTTCCACCGTAGTGATCAGTTAAGGTAATAAGATACACTTAGTTCTGACTGAACACTGTTCTTAAGTTTGCCAGACAAGAGGGAGTATTTTCGGGAAAACAATATTTCGCTGATACATATGAAAGAGTAAAATCCGTTCATTTGTTGATCTCAATACTATTATTCACTTATATTTTTTTTAATTAAGTGTCTGTATTATCAGTGATTAGGAGACTCCTGGGAAATCCTATTGTCGTGGCAAAATGGTAACATGAAAAGGCGATTCCCAAAGAAAAGTGAAGCCAAACAGAAGATGACTTGAGATAGGTAGTCAACTTAGAGGAGAGTCTACCACAATAGAAAAACAGGTATTACATGTAGCACCATAGACAGGTAGTCAACTTAGAGGAGAGTCTACCACAATAGAAAAACAGGTATTACATGTAGTACCATAGACAGGCAGTCAACTTAGAGGAGAGTCTATCACAATGGAAAAACAGGTATTACATGTAGTACCATAGACAGGTAGTCAACTTAGAGGAGAGTCTACCATAATAGAAAAACAGGTAATACATGTAGTACCATAGACAGGTAGTCAACTTAGAGGAGAGTCTACCACAATAGAAAAACAGGTATTACATGTAGTACCATAGACAGGCAGTCAACTTAGAGGAGAGTCTACCACAATAGAAAAACAGGTATAACATGTAAAACCATAGACAGGTAGTCAACTTAGAGGAGAGTCTACCACAATAGAAAAACATGTAGTACATGTAGAACCATAGACAGGTAGTCAACTTAGAGGAGAGTATACCACAATAGAAAAACAGGTATTACATGTAGTCCCATAGACAGGCAGTCAACTTAGAGGAGAGTCTACCACAATAGAAAAACATGTAGTACATGTAGTACCATAGACAGGTAGTCAACTTAGAGGAGAGTCTACCACAATAGTAAAACAGGTAATACATGTAGTACCATAGACAGGCAGTCAACTTAGAGGAGAGTCTACCACAATAGAAGTACAGGTAATACATGTAGAACCATAGACAGGTAGTCAACTTGGAGGAGAATCTACCACAATAGAAACACAGGTATTACATGTAGTACCATAGACAGGTAGTCAACTTAGAGGAGAGTCTACCACAATAGAAAAACAGGTATTACATATAGAACCATAGACAGGTAGTCAACTTAGAGGAGAGTCTACCACAATGGAAAAACAGGTATTACATGTAGTACCCTTGACAGATAGTCAGCAAAAGAGGATGATGAATACGTGAATACGTACTAGTGATTACCACAGTCACGTGGTGCTACCTGAGGAATGATTTACTGTCATCGCGGATTACTACCTTCAACAGGTGGATACGATAGCTAGGTTCATGTTGTCACATTGGAGGGTGACAACTATTTGCAGGTAAAGGTAGTCTCTACGCATCACATAGCGTTGTTGTCACATTCGAGGGGTTATTTACATGGACATATAGTCACTACTTACAAAATAGCTATGTTGTCACATTAGAGGGGTGATTTATATAGACAGGTAGTCACTACACACAAAATAGCTATGTTGTCACAATCGAGGGATAATGTACACAGACTGATAGTCACTACTTACAAAATAGCTATGTTGTCACATTCGAGGGGTGATTTATATGGACAGATAGTCACTACATATACAAAAGCGTTGTTGTCACATTCGAGGTTGATTTACAAAAACGGGTAGTCACTACATATAATATAGCATTGGTGTCACATTCGAGGGTGATTTACAAAGACAGGCAGTCACTACATACAAAATAGCTATGTTGTCACATTCAAGGGGTGGTTTATATGGACAGATAGTCACTACAGATAAAAAAAGCTTTGTTGCCACATTCGAGGGGTAGTTTATATGGACAGATAGTCACTACATATACGATGGCGTTGTTTTCACATTCGAGGGTGATTTACAAAGACAGGTAGTCACTACATACATAATAGCTGTGTTGTCACATTCGAGGGGTGATGTACACAGACTGATAGTCACTACTTACAAAATAGCTATGTTGTCACATTCGAGGGGTGATTTATATAGACAGGTAGTCACTACATACAAAATAGCTTTGTTGTCACATTGCACGGGTGATTTATATGGACATATTGTCACTACATATTAAAGAGCTTTGTTGTCACATTCAAGGGGTAATTTACATGGACTGATAGTCACTACTTACAAAATAGCTTTGTTGTCACATAGCAGGGGTGATTTATATAGACAGGTAGTCACTACATACAAAATAGCTTTGTTGTCACATTCGAGGGACGATTTATATAGACAGGTAGGCACTACATATAAAACAGCTTTGTTGTCACATTCAAGGGGTGATTTACATAGACAGATAGTCACTACTTACAAATAGCTATGTTGTCACGTTCGAGGGTGATTTACATAGACAGGTGGCCACTACATATACTATAGCAATGCTGTCACATTCGACGGGTGATCATTATAGATACATGTAGGTACAGTAGTCGCTATACACATAATAATTAAGGTTCACTCATAAGAGTTGACCCCTATAGACAGATACACTATATAAAACAGCTATGGGGTCCCAACGGAGGGGTGATCACTATAGACAGGTAGTCACTACAAACGGAACAGCTTTGTTGTCACACACGAGGAGTGGTCACTTTAGACAGGTAGACACTAGAAAGATGTTCACCGTAAACTTACACATTAACGGGGTTGCTAAGTACGTGTATATTTAAGGATTGAACGTCTGTAAGATTGCAGTTACAGCCAATATGAATGCAATATTGGTGACAGATAAATACAATTACGTTCGTTCTTTATTGTCTGCATGAACCAAACGACAACAACAAGATGGCGGCTATCGTATCGGGTGGATTGGTTGCTAACACTGACGTCACGGAAACCATGGTCATGTGACCAGATAATTCCGACTGCAGGTACTGTCCAGTAACTGCAGGCTGAAATTTCCATAGAGTTAAATGTAAATATAGATATATAACACCATGAGTTATATCGCATTACTTTATGATGATGCGGGCCATTCTGTTACAGATGCATACACGACCACCTGTCTATGGCGTTTATTGAAGAGCCAAACAAGAGGTAATACATGAAATTAATAAAAACCTACCGGTAATTTTTCACCTGAAGCATTAAGCTATCGTCGGGTAAAATATTCTGGCCCCGATTTCATGAACATTACATAAATTATGGAATGTCCATAATTTGTTTTCTATTGAAAAATTCCTGCAATATTTGTTTATCAATTTTCAAAAGGAAGTTCACTTAAGATCGTTTCGTGAAACAGGACCCTGTATAGGTGGTGTCCTTAAGTCAAGCTCACGAATAAAATATTATTATTTGCGTTCTTGTCCGGCAGTATATCCAATACTTTCATATTTGCTTACAAATAAGTAAATGCTCATTCCAACAACCATTGAAATGTCAATGTTAACCGCTTACACACTCTGATAGGAGATATAGATGTTGGTCAACAATATAGAAGAATATCCTTTTTTATACTGTTCTATCCTTGTTTTTCTTCAAAATATTAGGACTGCTCACTGTAGTCATTCGTGGTCACATTGCAATCCATGCATGCTGAGGATCAGACACTAATCCAAAAACACCTTCGATTTGTTTGATGTTAACATCAAACGTTTTAACTCATTTAGTTGCCATCCTATCGGAGTTTCGCCTATTAATGATTAAACGACAAGTCAATTACTATGTTTAAGTATTCTATACCGGAACGGGACATTACTTTATCGCGATGATGATAAGTACATTTAAACGGCAGTTAATGGTGATATACAGAGTACAGTCAGAATAATATAGCGAAAAAAGCGTGAAAGTAGTCACAGACTGATATGTTGAGTAGGGGGGCTCGAAAGTAAATACATGTAGTTTAGAATTAAAAAAACGGAACGTAAGGGCTATTACATGTACATGTACAATATATAGTACATGTATCACTGGCATTCTTCTTCTTTCAATAAATATCTATATACCACATATGATGTATTGTCGCAAACTGATACAATTTACAAATGATCGAGATACATGCAAAAAGGGTTGATATAAATAATAAAGCTTCGGATTTTTTTTCGGGGTCTGATGTAATTAGTAAACAAGTTAACTTTTGATTGCTGATTAGCAGTAATATCGAACGAAATTTAAACCTTTTATCGACCAATAGTAGTTTAACGTGTTTCCATACATCCAAACGCCCGACAACATAGTCACGTGCTTCCATACACCCAAACGCCCAACAGCATAGTCACGTGTTTTCATACATCCAAACGCCCAACAGCATAGTAACGTGTTTCCATACATCCTAACGCCCAACAGCATAGTCACGTGTCTCCATACATCCAAACGCCCAACAGCATAGTCACGTGTTTCCATACATCCAAACGCCCAATAGCATAGTCACGTGTCTCCATACATCCAAACGCCCGACAACATAGTCACGTGCTTCCATACACCCAAACGCCCAACAGCATAGTAACGTGTTTCCATACATCCTAACGCCCAACAGCATAGTCACATGTCTCCATACATCCAAACCAAACGCCCAACAGCATAGTCACGTGTTTCCATACATCCTAACGCCCAACGGCATAGTATTGTTTTCCATACATCCTTACATCAAACAGCATAGTCACGTGTTTTTATACAACCTATATGCGTTCGTGCGTGTGTATGTGTATGCATGTTTGATATGCGGATGTATGTGTGTGTTTGTATTCATTA